TCATTTGGCTGACTGACACAAATCACTTGCTAACTTCAATTAAAGCGGAAGAGTAGTCACCTACGCATGCGTCAGATAGCCATAGCGTGCCATTGTTTATAAACAATCGTCTATCCACGAGCCTTTGCGTTTTTTAGCGGTGTTATCATTGCTTGGGACTCTATTCCCACGTGTCCGCAGGTGACGACTCTCCCACTTTAAGAGAATGTGCTATGATCAAAAGTTCTAACGTGATTATACAGTGAATTATGATTTCTTAATGGTTGCCAGAGAAAGTGTCAGTACTGGTATTTAAACCATGTATGAAAAAAAAATGAAAATTGAGAACACTTGCATTGTGAGTGTTTAAGCAGTTTGGCACCTGCAAAGGTGAATTCAATGGTAACTATAATGTCAATAGATATTCATGACTGGAGCTAACAGAACCAAAGTAACAAATGCAGAGCTAACATAACCTGCTAGACTATTTAATACATACATTATGTTTACACTGAACAGATAATGATTCTAATATGCAAGATATTAAACATACACTGCATGTAATAAGCCTAAATACATCATTTAATGTTTCTATGATATTTCTTCTTTATTCTATGTTTGTTGTGTATTTTGGAAATCAAATATACCTACCATCAGTTCCACAGTGCTGTAACCAACATTTGATTATCATAAATGAACATTTGAGCAAGTGACTCTACCATGTTACAACTACATAAGCATGCATTTAACAGAACAGGATGGGACTGCAGAACAATCTTTAAACAACATTGCTAAATTTTATATGAAAACAGTGGGGTGTGTGTAGCTATGTGAAAAGCACAGAACATAACTTAATTTTAATATTCTTATAAATCAAGCAGAAGGTATTCACATTTCAGTGTTTATTATTAATACATGCTTAACAAATTCATCTAGGTCAATCAAACTAAGCCCAAGAATTTCAATCAATATATTACAATCGATTGGGTGTGAAGTACTGTAAGTATGGTATAATGTTTAGTATTTCAGTTTCAACTGCAAGAAAATCAGATTCTATTTGTTTTTATTACATTATCCAATATTGATATCTGTCTATCATGAAAACCACAGAATGCGTTTGGTACATAGAAATTGTGAAAAAAAGACTAGGGTATAAACAATTTTCTAGTACAATTTGTATCTCTTATTTCCTCTTGTGTACAACTATTTTCTTCAAATTTGCACTGCTATTTCTAATAATCTACTCCTTAGTATATGACAGTTTGTATCTTAATAACTTTTAAGTTAAAATAACAGATGTACGTCATCAGTGATGCAGTACAAAATACAAAGCTAATAATAATTTTAAGTAGATAAATATGAATCAATGAATGTATTAAAAATATAGTTTAAAGCGAGGGAGTCGTCCCCTGCGTCTGCATCAGATGGCCATAGCGTGTCAGTGTTTACAAACAAGCGTCTACCCATGAGCCTTCGAGTTTTTAGCACGTGTTATCACTTAGGACTCAATTCCCGCACATGCACAAGTGACTACCCTTCCACTTTAAGTATTCTATATAATAACTGCAAATTCTGCATAACTCCGGTTATGAATTGATTTTAACATTTATAACGCAAAACCACATGCATTACATTCTTGTTTAGTTTACATGCATATCACCACAAGTAGGCGCACTAATATAGTACCGGTTTACATGTATTGAAAACTGCTTTAGTTTTGTGACACAAATTTTTGAAAATTCAGGAAAATTGTGATATTTTGTAGCAGTGAAAAATAAAGGGTTTACAAGTATATATACTATGCAAGAATGATAACTCCAATAAAAGTAGCATTCAGAAATAGAAA